TTCCTGCCTTCAGTGTAACATATATAAGCAGAATCGTCCAATACAGTATTAGAGCTCTAAAGAAGCGGTCTGATAGATTAAGTTGGCGAAACCGCTGATGAACTAAGCCCTCCCAATATATTTTTTCATCGCAATAAGGGGATAGTAGAAATTTTCATTATGTGTAGAAATAACATCCATGCTTTGATGCTTTCATTTCTTATAGATAGATGGCGTGTTATTGTCTTATATTTAAGACATCTTATTGACGATGTGCAGCCATTGTGAAGAACTCGGAGGGAGCCGTGGTGGCCGAGCGGAGGTTCAAGATCAAACCTCAGCAGCGATGTTTCTGCCACTACATCTGCAAGTGTGCGGTGAGTAGCTCACTTCACTATGTGGGATTTGCCATCTCTGGGAGTTGCCATCGTCGAGTGGAATCACCAGAAGCTGGAGAGAGTCACTCATTGACTCCAGGGCGGGTTGAAATACTAACAATAAGTATAAGGAATGATAAATATTCAAATGGACAATAGCTAGAATACTCAGGTTTAGACGTACAAGAAAATCCACAGTTAGTTTCTTCCATTGTAACAGGAGTTTGATTGTTCCGAAGTTCTTTTGTTGGTTGTAAGTTCATTCAGAGAAAATATTTAGCTATATAAACCATTTTTTTACTTGATTCCCGACTTTTCATTCATTTCCTAATATATATTATTGTTTCTCTATTTTATTTTTAATTACTTTTTCTTGTATAATATGTTTATAACTGTTTCTGTTTTTAAAAAAATGTAAATCGACGCAATTATCCCTAGCCGGGATATCGCGTTTTGTGTGTTGAAATAAATAAATTATTTTTGAATCCTAGTTCTACATATATACATATACGATTTTCTAAAATAGATGTAAAGCGTCACGTATTTGCATAGAAATAAATAAGAGCTTAAAAATGAAACTTTTGCAAATTGAAAAGATTAAGGATATAAAATTATATACATAAACTTTGTTTGAAATGTGTTAGATTGTTAACATACTTCTTGTTCGGGAAAGTGATTCCTCTGCAATATATAGAATAAAAAACGACACTTGAAGTTACACCGCATGAGTTTCTTTTCAATGAAAAATCAAAATTTATTTCAAGGTGAAATATTGACTATTTCTAACCTTTTTGGATGAGGTTTGAAAGGGTGAATTATGAAGAGTAATGATGAACGGAAAAATACGTCCAGGGTAACCTAGTGGACATGTCATCTGCCCGGTAAGCGGAACATTGTGGGTTCGGTTCCCATCCCTGGACACTTTTATTTTTCCGTTCATCATTACTCTTCATAATTCACCCTTTCATACCTCATCCAAAAAGGTTAGAAATAGTCAATATTTCACCTTGAAATAAATTTTGATTTTTCATTGAAAAGAAACTCATGCGGTGTAACTTCAAGTGTCGTTTTACAATCACAGGCCGCAGTGTATTATATTATATATATCTATATATATATATAAATGAATGTATGTGTGTGTGTCTGTTTGTTTGTTTGTCCTTTATGCCTGACCAAACCACTCATTGGATCGCCATGAAACTTTGGGAAGTTATTTAGTATAGTACTGGGAAGGTTTCTGGCAAATAAAATTTTTGAAATAACTTTTCGCCTAGAAATAATCAAGATAAATATTCTAATTTATCTGTTATAATTCAACAATCTGCTCTAAATATTATCATGATGATACGATGATTTTGTAATGTAGAAAATTAGGAAAGACAAAATTCAGGATGACACGGCAATTTATTTGAGACAAGAATAATGATACAATTCAAAGGCAAGATACTATTCCTTTAACTTCCAATTACCGAGGGAACCAATTAATATTGATTTTATTCAACTTATCGAGTATTTTTCAAGGGACCGGGAAAAAATGTTCACTTTATCGAGAGATTCGTTAAACAAACCTTTACTCGGGTAAAACCCGGGCGAAGCCGGGTACATCCATACAAGAATAATGATACAATTCCAAGGCAAGATACTATTCCTTTAACTTCCAATTACCGAGGGAACCAATTAATATAGATTTTATTCAACTTATCGAGTATTTTTCAAAGGACCGGGAAAAAAATGTTCACTTCATCGAGAGATTCGTTAGACAAACTTTTACTCGGGTAAAACCCGGGCGAAGCCGGGTACGTCCGCTAGTAGAATCTATATATATAAAATTGAATGTCTGTCTGTCTGTCTGTTTGTCTGTTTGTCTGTGGTCTGTGTGTCCTCTATGGATTCAAAAACCATACATCCAATCGCCGTGAAAATTTGGGATATTATTAGGTGTATCCCCGGAAAGGTTTACGAAAAATAATTTCTTGAATATCTTGAATATCCTTAGAGTTATTTGCAGATTTGTATATTTAACTCGCAAGCAGCGCCGCCATTGAGACGGAGATAGGCTTAGTTTGCTGCTTCTGATGACCTTGGGTCATCGTGTAAGTCACAGCATGATGCTACGAAAACACTCTCTCTGGGGATTTTACAGCGTCGACAACCTGTAAGATTGCCTCTCTCATATATTATACTTTAAACATCTGCTTAATTAAAGCATTTTTCATTTGAAAGAGACTGCTCTCTTAACCCCCTTTAGACAACATTAAATGATATCCCGTGTCGATGATTTTGTAATGTATAGAATTAGGAAAGACAAAATTCACGATGACACGGCTCACAGGGAACGGTAAAAAATGTTCACTTTATCGAGGAAATACAAAATTCGGGATGACACGGCACACAGGGACCATGAAAAAATGATCACTTTATCGAGAGATTCACGACCATGATTTTATTCAACTTATCGAGTATTTATCAAGGGACCGGGAAAATATGTTCACTAGATAAAACGATGATTTTGTAATGTAGAAAATTATGAAAGACAAAATTCAGGATGACACGGCACACAGGGACCGGGAAAAAATGTTCACTTTATCGAGAGATTCACATTTACGTGTTTCAAATTATCAAAATATGTCTCTTTCTTTTTATAAGTTTATAGAGAATTGTTTTAACAAATGTTCGTTAGACAAACCTTTACTCGGGTAAAACCTCGGGCGAAGCCGGGTACGTCCGCTAGTAATAAATAAAACCGAGGATAAGTTTCTTTCTTTGTTATACATTATGTCGCGTATATGAGCCTTCAAAACACCTACAACCTCCGCCAATAGATGGCGCTTTCGCCTATATCGAGTCTGGAAATAATGTGGGAATCGCCGACTGCTGTGGTCCTGTTTCCTGGGGTAAATGTTTGTAAATACACTTTTATATTGGCCCTGGGAGGTAACGTAATGTAAATACCCGTTTATTGTTATTCTAGTTATATGTAATGTGTAGTAGAAATTACAATAAAGGAGGAGTGTTAGAAGTCTTGGTGCCGGTTGCTGTTGTTACTCTCTCCAACGCCACAGTCGCTACTCTTCTGGTAAGTCTCTCGTGTCCCCCCACCAGTGGTAAGGCCGAGAGATATTGCCAGAGGAAAGGAGATCCATTTGAGTGGTGGTTCTCAGAGGTCCTTGGGTGCTCTGCAGGGTAGAGCTGCAGAGGGAGAGCAACAGAGCCTGGGTAGGTGATCCACGAAGGAGGAAGCGGCGTCGTCGCGAAGAACCGGAGGGGTCAAGCGCGACAATATTAACTTCTCAAGCTGTCAGGCCTTATAAACCCTCCTAGAGGGGTATATGAGAGCTTGAGAAGAAAATATCTAATAAAGCGATAAACACTCATTCTCGGAAGCCATTTTATTCATGATTCTATATATTGCAGAGGGTTTTACTTTTCTGAACAAGGAACATGAGAACAATGTAACTCCTGGCGCTGCAGTCGATAACACATTGTGCAAACTTAATTACAAACAGGAAGTACAAAGTTATCCCAAAAGTTCGTAAACACTTGCAAAAAAATTGAAATAACAGTATTATTCGCCATTATATTATTCTCCGTTATGTATAATGTCTTTGTATTATGTATAAAGTAATTGTATCATGTTTTATTATGTATTCGCCGTAATAATTATATTCGTCAATAAGAAAAACACGAAATTTTGGGACAACCTTATAGATATAATAAATATGTAATTTTAAGCACAGGTAGATAAACAATATCTGATCTGCGTTTACTAAAGTGTGCACATGAATGCTCAACGAAATTGCAAAAGAAGAAAGTGATAAGCTTGGTTGTATCAAGAAATCATACAAACAGCTAGAGGACTGTTATTTTGAACACATTGAATACGAGTCTGTGGAATCCCATTTGAATGTATTTTTGTAAGAGAATCAGAGGCTGGATCTCAGAGATTATTGTTTAATTAACAAAACATTAAATTAAGTTGACAGAAAACAAAATAGGCAAAACAAAAGCAAGCGTAGGGGCAGACAACCAAAGTTAAACTAAAACTACATGTACAGCCGGTCGGGGTGGCGACATGTCATGTGATGTCTGGTAGGAAGGTGGCGTTGCTAGGCAACGGCTGATGTGCGTAGTTACTCTCCAACACGTTTCCACATCTATTATACACTTCGATTCTTATTGGGTCTTTATATATTTACATAAACAGACGAACCGCAAAGAAATTCGATCTTATGAATAGTATTCTGTGCGTAGAAGCTACCAGAAGTGAGGACATTTTGTATTAACTTGTGGAGTACGTTGTCTATAAACGCTATGGTTGAATTTCCATAAGAGAAAACATACGAATTCTTTTGAAATGCCCTGGTTTCATATAGTTGTTGAGTGTATTGTGACATATGGCAAGCATTCTGCTCGTGAAATGCCATTTTGAACTACTGATAGTGATTCTTTGGAGCACTATAACATCACGTTCATCCCATGACATAATTTAACATTGTAGAACGAAAATTGCAATTATACCGCAAATGTTTCTTTAGAACGAAAAATCGAAATTTATTTTAGGGAGAAATAGCGATTATTTCTAACCTTAGGGATGAAGTATGATAGGATGAATTGTAAAGAGTAATGATAAACGGGAAAATAAAGTGTCCAGAGTTGGGAAACGAACCCACAGTGTTCCGCTTACCGGGCAGATGCCATGTCCACTAGGCACCATCCCTGGACACTTTATTTTCCGTTTATCATTACTCTTCCCAATTCATCCTATCATACTTCATCCCTAAGGTTAGAAATAATCGCTATTTCTCCTTAAAATAAATTTCGATTTTTCGTTCAAAAGAAACATTTGCGGTATAATTGCAATTTTCGTTCTACAATCATAAGCCGCATTATATTGTATTATAATTTAGCATTATTAACAAGCAATCCAGGGTTAAGTTTCTTGTACCATTTTTACTTCTCGAGCTTTCGGACTAACATGCCCAGGAGCACCTAGTAGTATAACTTCCAGATAACTAATCACGCCGAAACTACGTTGTATATAGCTGTATAGCATGTTATCCCCAAATCTAGAGAAATGAAAGTTGTGCAAGAAACTTAACCCTGGATTGCTTATTGATTTTATTAAATTATAACATCTAACCCAAGGTTTTTTTATCAAATAATTTCAAAAAGGGATATTTCAAGACTATTTTTACTCATAAAACAGGCATACTATTTCTTTAAATATACAAGGTATGTCCCATAAGTTCCCGGACTGGGTCCATAAAAAAATAAATAAATGAAAAATGTAAATGAATTTGACTGTTTATTATAGAATAAATATCTGGCTACACGGTGGTACCAATATCGAGGCGGTACTTGCGCGCGCGCCAAGGTTATTCTAATTTATTTAAAGGTCACACCTAGCGCTGCGGCGATTTTACGATGGAACAAAAATTGAAGCAGAGGATTTGCATAGAATTTTGTGTGAAACTTCAAATATCAGCAACCTAAACTTTTGAAATGCTTAATAAAGCATTCCCCAATGACGCCCCAAAGAGAACAACTGTTTTTGAATGGCATTCTAGATTTAAAGCTGGCAGAATTTCCATTGAAGATGATCCTCGTCAAGAACGCCCAACATTTCAAAGGACTGATGAAAATGTGCAAAAAATCACCGATTTGATAAAAGAAAATCCTCGAACCACTTTGCTGGAGCTAGAGCAAGATACAGGCATCTCTAAAACAACGATTGGAAGGATCGTAACCGAAGATTTGAAGCTCAAAAAGACTCCTGCAAAATTCATCCCAAGATTCCTCACCAATGAGCAAAAACTGTGTCGGCTTGCAACCTGTGAGGACATGATGGAAATGACAAGAACGGATCCAGAATGGAAAGACAAGATAATCACAGGCGACGAGACATGGGTCTATGGCTATGACCCTGAAACCAAACCTCAATCTGCCGAGTGGAGAGGTTAGGGTGAGCCTAGACCCAAAAAATCCAGAAACAAGGTGTTGCTGGTCGCTTTTTCGGATAACAAAGGCATTGTTCATCACGAGTATCTTCCTGCAGGCCAAACAGTTATTAAGGAAATGTATTTGGGCATTCTTCGCCGTCTAAGGGAAGCGATTCGAAAAAAAAGGCCAGAAAAATGGACTAATGGTGGCTGGATCCTACACCATGACAATGCTCGCCCTCACACAGCGCACTTGATGACTAGCTTTTTGGCGAAAAACGGGACACAAATCCTACTTCAACCACCCTATTTCCCAGACATCGCACCAAATGACTTTTTCCTGTTCCCCAAACTTAAAGCAGTTCTAAAAGGAAGACATTTTGACACCAGGGATGACATAATAGAAAAATCGCCGTTAGCATTGAAGAGCATTCCAAAAGAGGCTTATAAAAACTGTTTCGACAATTGGGAGAAACGATAGCGCTGGTGCGTTGAAGCAAGGGGGGATTACTTTGAAAAGTTTTAATAAAAAAAAAATTACAAAAATCTTACCTTTTTTTTTTATGGACCCAGTCCGGGAACTTATGGGACATACCTTGTATATAAAAAACACCCCAGGAATATTTTCGAGGTAGGTGTCGCGAGTCGATGTACCAACACAGATATGAAGTCGGGCACAGCAAGCATGCTCCTGGCCACTGTCAAAGAGGTTGACAATTGAGCAAACCTCTGAATGTTGTTCCAAAGACGAGTGGCGTGGCAGTGCATGGACGAGCCGCTAGCCTGTTCCCTCATCTCCCAGAGCGAGTACAACCGTGCCGGCTTCACGGGCCACCTACCCTCGTTGCCACAGCCGCACCGAGTGGCGAAGAAGAAGAAGCCCAAGCCCCCGCTGTACCCACTCATCATCCTGGCGGTGATCTTGATCCTGCTCTGTCTGGGTGAGTGTCTATTCACGCTTGATTGGCCTTCAAAAGATGTGGATAGTGAATTTTATAATATTACCTCCTTAGAATAAAAATGGCATTGCTATCGCCAAAGTAGGCTCAACCACTCCGATTGATCATCTCTGTACACAGATATAATGCCACAACATGAGCTGAATATAAGAAAACATTTAAGTACTATTTTTTTTATGAATAAAAACAAACTTCTACTGTCCTTACGGCGATGAAAAAATTGACGAAACCGCTGGGAGGGTTATTTAATATGTAGGATGGTTGTTGATGTGCTGTGCTGGTGTGGCTTGTGGAAAGGCTGCTGATAAAATTATAATTAAAATTAATTTATTTAAAGCAAGAGAAATGATAGAGAGAAAAGAAACAACGGTTGGAGTAATGACCGTTGGAGTAAGCCTACATGTTTACCTCTAAAATCCCAGCGTCTCTGATGACGTCCCACGCGCATGCGTAGTGAAGTGTTGACGCCCGCGCATGCGTTGAAGCAAAGTGTAGTCGCCACACTACTCCCCCTCCAGTAGGATCTTTCCAGCGATCCTATGCAATCTTATTGGCTTGTTAAGTTCGGGTCTTGGGAAAACATCGGTCCTTCTGATGTGAAAGCAGGCTTGAGGCGGTCGATTGACACCCACGTGGATCTCTTTTTAATTTTCAGTTTGTAAATTTTGGGTTTCCTAAAAAGGACTTCAAATGGACTGTCGTATGGGGGAGCTAGCGGTGGCAATATCAGGTCCCGACGTAGATAGACATGGGAACATGTCTCGAGTGGCTTGGGCACGTAAACGTGGCGGTTCCCATGTGGTTTGCTTGGTGCAGGTTTCAGAGATGCCATGGCGCGCTTGAAGTCCTCCAGCCACGGTTCGGTAGGCGAGCTTGCAGAGGGGGGGTCCTCGAAAAATGTTCCTGGAAGGGGTAGGGGCTTCCCATAGACCAGCTCAGCGGTTGTGGTGTTGAGATCTTCCCTTAGCGACGAACGAATCCCTAGGAGCACCAGGGGAAGTTTCAAGGACCAGCTCGTGGAATCGTGACAGCGAAGGGAGTCTTTCAGCTGTCTGTGGAATCTTTCTACCAGGCCGTTTGCTGCTGGGTGGTAGGGTGATGTCCTTATTCTTTTGATTCCCAGAAGCCGTGTCAACTCACCGAAAAGTGCTGATTCAAACTGCCTGCCTTGGTCTATAGTCACTTTTGCTGGCACGCCAAAACGAGATATCCAGACCGATAGGAAGGCATTTGCTACTGTTTTGGCGGTGATGTCCTGTATGGGTAGGGCTTCGGGTCCACAGCATTTTCAGTGCTGTATCGGAGAAATTTCTTCCTGCCTGATGTTGCATCGCGGCAAGGACTGTTGATGGCTTCTGATCTCCCATGGGACGCCCATCCAGAACCTGTAAGATTTTAGTTTGTTTTGATTGACCGAGTCGTTGGAGAAGGCCTGCCTTCAGCGCATCGTATTTACCAGAGGGTGGGGGGGCCGTTACGATGTCCGCGACGTAAGTAAGGGTTGGCTGGTCTAGGCTCGTTACCGTTGCTTGGAATTTAGTTTCGTCGCGGGAGATCTCGGCTAGACCGAAAGCGGCTTATCCACAGTTCAACGTTGTTGGGCCAGAATGGTGGTGCACGGAAAGCCAATCTTGATATTTGGGAGGGTGCCGTGGATGTTGGCCCTTCCGGATGATCCGTAGTTGCGTCTTGCATTCTGGGGCTGTTGAAAGTTTCGTGGATGAAATAAAAAAAAATATATAGAAGTGTGATTAAAATAACTTTTGCATCACGTCCGGCTCACCCATTTGTAGGATGGTTGTTGATGTGCTGTGCTGGTGTGGCTTGTGGAAAGGCTGCTGATAAAATTATAATTAAAATTAATTTATTTAAAGCAAGAAATTATAGAGAGAAAAGAAACAACGGTTGGAGTAATGACCGTTGGAGTTAGCCTACATGTTTACCGCTAAAATCCCAGCGTCTCTGATGACGTCCCACGCGCATGCGTAGTGAAGTGTTGACGCCCGCGCATGCGTTGAAGCAAAGTGTAGTCGCCACAAATATAATATTTATATGTAATTTTACTGTTATAAATGCTTATGTCCATAGTATTTGCTCAAATACCATTTCTGAGATTCCACCCTTCAATGTAACATATTGTAGCGTAGAAATCAAGCCTTGAAATATCCTAAGATGTAAAAGTATTTATTGATGACGTCACAGCGACGAGTCGACAATTATTAACAGGTCAGCAAAACTATTTTCAGCTAGAGAATCTTAAGCAAGCAAGCAAAGAAATATTTTAAAGATGATTTCACAAATACAGATTAATATATATTTTTATAATCTGTTGAATATATTTTCATTGAATAATATTAAATTAAATAATAAAATATTTCTTTGTCACATAGCCTCCTCCTATAGAGAGCATCGACCCGATGCTCAGCAGGAGACTTACGTCGTCAGTCTTAAGAACTATTACTATGGCCAGGGATATTTTCAGGTGACTGCGGTGGATGTCTTCTTTCAGTTGAAATATCTTCTTAGTGAGGGCTTGGTAGGTCTATGTTTACGTCAAGGTAGCTTTTTATCATTTCTACTGTGGTCGGTAAGGGGGATTTTATAACTTTGCGGCCTCACCTCCAATGTGGTCTATCATCTAGTTTTAATGGCGGGGCGTCCAGCTAGATCTTCTAGCAGGTGAGAAATGTTGTCTGTTTCGACCGCGATATGAAGTAGGGTGTTGGAAAAGAAGACGTCCGAAGCAGCCAATGGGAGGCCGGCGGAGGCAGCTACGGGGATGCAGCGGCAAAAAATGAGGAAACAATAGAGGAAGAACTTGTAA